CCCTCCTTATAATGGCTGGCACGGCCAGCTAGCTGTGCATAAGAAAATCAGCAGTAATTATTACCGAAAATTTAGATGCGGCTTAAACGAAAGCATTTCGAAAGATCTCACAACCAAGAAGAATGCCTCATGTAATTGGTACCTTGCCACCTTTTAGCCGAGGACAAGGCGATGGCTGGGACAACCTGAACAATCGATAGACAGACCGATGGGTCCGCTGGTGAGCATTGTTTGGCTTCAGCATCGACACGGAACGGATGCATGGGTGAGAAACAACAGCCTCCACAAAGCCTATCGCACCTGGTCAATGAAGGGCAGAGCATGCTGGAAACGAGTGGCTGCGGCTATCTTCTCTTCCGTACCATGAACGGACTCTGAAGTCGACCAAAGGAACAATCTACTTGGGGTGTGAACTTCAGCCTTTGCATAAGTTATTAATCACATTCAATTTTGTGTAAACATTGCTGGCACACGAACATTTCGAGCCATGGTTTATGAACCATGTCATTATGGAGGAGATCATGACATTGGAGGTATCATTTTCTGAGATTGTAAGAATGCCATCAGGGTTCAGATAATCAGCAATGAGTATAACTTGTTTGTGAGTACGCTTCTAAGTATGGCCATGAACTCTCGAGCTGCTGATGAACTCGCATTCGTATGGTTTGAGCAATTTCGGAAGTTGCCGATAATCATCGAGAACACAAAGTACTCAAGGTTTGAAAATATTCTCACCATTCTGGATGTGTTACGTTCCTGTCAGTGAGGAAATAAATGGATGCTACCGAATGCCCCACAGCGGTTGCCTGTGGACTGATCCACATTGTCTGCTTGAGTATCGGCAAAGAAATAGTGGAAGATATCGATATACTATGGATGGATGGTGAAGGAAGCCTACACCGTAGCTCGATACTCGATTGTCGAAACAGGATTCTTACGCTCATATGCACCGACATAAACACAGAACGTCCTCTGATAGACATGGCCGTTGTTGGCAATCAAGAGCAATGCATCCCATACCTTGGCCAGAATGTGCCAGCAAGAGCAGAAATATCACGGACCAATGATCAACTTGTCATCGACTATCATCACCAAATTGTCTACGATATGTCAGTAAGAGATGAAGGCGGTTCTTCTGCAATTATCATCATGTACCTTTGCGATTCCATTATGTCCTTGTTTCGGAGGAAATGATGGGTTTCTAGGAAAATCGTGAAGCCCTGGATGGAGATCTCCCAATTGGACACTTTCCTCATTCTTAAGTACGTGCTGTGCCCCCCATTATTCGATATCACTTGCTGCATCGGCCCACTGAAATACAAGTTGTTCACATAGCGGTACAATTCGTAAGATAAGGTAGAACGAACCACACACGACTGAAAAATTGACGGATAATCCACTCCTTTTACATTCTAATTGAACATAAGAGCCGAACAGATGGGGTGAATACAGAGTCTAGCCTTGTAGCAAATGATGGACCGAGCGAGCCTTTCTCAGAGAACTCTGTTCAGAGATGATGCATTGTCGCAGCCTCTTCCAAAAACTTGAATTCATCTTTCATTTTGCTCATCTCGTCTCGCACTCACAGGACGAAGGAGCGGATCAATCTCTCTCAGTCAGTCAATCAGTCAAACATTGCTTCGGAGCATTTCTTCGTCCCTGGGTGGAAAATGGTCGTGTTGTGAAACTCACTTGTTGATCCAGAAAACTCACTGCTTGATCACTTGTTGAAACTCTTTTGTTGGTCTCGACCTGATAGAAACAACCGTCCAGGCCTTTTCCTGTGGACCGGATGATCACTTTTGAAAACGGTCAATGACATGGAATGCGACCAACGTCGTATTGATTCGATCAAGGTCTGCAGGCTGACTGCAAATAGCAAAACATGTTGGCTGTCAGTGTCTGTCAAAGTACATTCCCGTTGGTTTTATTGTGGTTAGAAATGCAGGTTAGCTCTTGTGATTACTATAGGACACAGCGGTTTAGCTCATGGCAGCTGATCAAGGCTTCCATTATTGAAGCCCGGTTATTGTAAATCCGGTAATTGTTCTCCGTGTTGTCCAAGCTGACTTGGTGTTCAACTCTGGGCTGTTTCCGAATAAAGAATTGGACTCTGACATCCAGATTTTGTGGACGGGTGATGACTGTAGCCTCAGATTGACAGGGTGAAAAAAATTGGCCCACAGTATCAGCGCAATGCATTCGATGTGAATTCCCCATCGACCCGGTCGAAGGAGTGGACTCGAGTTCCTGAAAACCTGAAAACCTTCACCGGGGGCAGTTTGAGCTGATGGCCCGAGTTGAACACCCAATGAAAAAAGGCACTACTTCATTAGGTTCTCAACTGTGTAGCGCTGGGTTACCCTAGTCCCACCATTTGTCTCCTTGTAAGCGATGAGTTGGTTGCCCTTTCAAGTTGAGAAGCCTTTCCCCGTTCCAGCATATCAGAGGACTTGACACAGGCTTTCATTCCATCCTTTGATTAGTATTTGATTGCAGTTCATTTCTCAATCATTACTGTCGAAAGACCTCCGATTGAGCTTTCGCACCAGACCTGCAAGGCTGGACGAGTTCGAAGCCTCTCGAGGCGAAGAAGTCCGAGGAAGCGATTTATGGTCTGACAGCTGAAAAGACTCGACTTCCAAGCGTGAAGGAGAGCAGAGAGCGTACTCCAGTCATCATCACAGAGAATCCCTTGCTCATTATGGGGGTGTGCATACCATTTGTTAAAACCCCATCTCCACATTTCCGTATGGGAGAAGCTCGGATTTATGATAAAACTGAGAAGTTTCCATCGTACAGGAATTTAATGAGTGGGTGGGAGTGTAAGACTCAGGAACGACTGCACGCCAGCAGATCATGGTGAGGAGAAGGCTATACAGGAGACCTTGAATTTTACTAGGTTTGGAATCCGTCTTTTCTTAGACCAGCCGCATTCACGGAAAATAAAGTCCATGAAGATCTGGGCCTATATTCATACATGCCCGGCAGAGTAAAAATACGAGGCACGATTTGCATTGGAGGGCCTCTCAGATTCTAAATAGCTCTTCCTTTCTCAGTCTTACTCGTTCTTGCATTTCTCTTTTTGGTTCTCTTGATTTCATTTCATTGGGTACGTTCTTGTTCTTCTGTCTATGATGACAAGTGTGGTGTGGTGTTTCATCGTTTAAATGAAACGCACGAGGCAAGAAATTTTGTAACGAATGAATACATGTCCCACAGCCTGTTCGGCTTCCATGCCTCGGAATTTATCTCGCTGGCATGCGCTCGAGCACACACGAGCTCCAGATGGAAATGGGAAGAGTTTGGAACCCTGTGGCAACAAATAGCCGGATTGTTGGCAGCAGTCGAATGTCACCCGTTCTGTCGCCGGCCTCTCGTCGGCCCTAGCCTTCTGATTGCAGTCCATGGAGTATTCAACGTCACGGCCTGCCTTCCACCTTTTAGAAAGCGGTACGGTTTCCAGCACAAGGACGGACTGCTCTGCTATGATTCTGTGAGCTCCAATAACTAGTTTGGTGAACGAGTAATGAGAGCATGTACCGTCAACATTTATAACGACAGTTGAAACATCAAGCTGTGAAACCACGACTTCGTGTCCTGATCGGAATTTCGGTCACTTATCACAAGAGCTGAGAAGCCTCGAGGACCTTTTCGTTAGATTCTTCTTGTGCAATGTCGTGATCATAATGACCACTTTGGCCGTAGGTCACTGGGTTTCGCTGCTTTGGCACTAGATCCGCACCCCTTGGCCGTGGAAACCTCCTCGACGTACGACTTTGCTCTCAGCTGCGGAGCAGACAAACATCTCATCGATTGATGCCGCTGGTCGGTCGGTCCTTCTGAAGCAATTCCGCAGGTTGCCTCGGGCAACGTAGCGAGCGATCTGGGGATGAAAGGTCGGGCATCCCAGCTCCGGCGTCAGTCTACCTTCCTGCAAGCCATCGGCAACAGAGATACTGGAAATTCCGAATGAGTTCCCCTCACCCTTCTTCTTCTCCCTTCAGACCCTCCCTCTGCCCGCTCGAATCTGCAACCAAGATCCGATTGGGTTTTAGTTGCAGATTCGAGCATGTAACTCGATCCTGATATTCAATGCACAGGGCCAGGAACGTCGTACACTCGTCGCTGCCTACTTCTAAGAATATGAAATGAGGATTGAATTGATAAATGAAACGGGAAACAAGGAAAACAATAGCAGCTGGAATCAGCGATTAGGGGCTCGTGTGCATCAGGACATTAAAGATTCCTCAATGTACCGATGAATCATCGTCAACAATTCTTTGGGCTGTTCCTTCCAACCTTCCTGCATCTCTCTTCGGAAACCATGTGCAAGCATGTTATAGAATCTGGTATTGAGTTTCTTATGCATCGGAATTTCAGTGAAATCAGAAGAATTTCACTAGACTTTCATCCTGCGAACCCTTCTTATTAATTCCTCCGAATCTTTTGCCCGAAGGCCCTCAATCTGTTGTTCGAGTCTTAAGCGCACAAAAGTGTCCACTCCTCGACCTGTCCAGGATGTTTGCTGGACTTTTAAGGCCTCGTGCAGGTTTCTCTAGAATTGTCAGAAATCAATATCCTTCAGAATTTTCGCACTACCAGAGCAAAGTTGGTGCAAGATCGAAATTCTCTGAAGCCAAAGTTCAAGCATTCGCCTCAAAATGGGGAGTGCTCTTGGCCCTCAAAGCAATAGCTAACCATGCACGGAATCCGATATGTAGACGAAAAGTTCCTCGACGAATCCTAGACAGAGCGATCACTACAACTAGAAAGCACCTGCGCGCAAATGCAAGGAGGACTCGTTCTCGGGCAAACAGAAGGGAAGAAAAACTACTAGTGCCCAGAGGTAAGCGGAGCAACTTCACGAGTGAAAACAGCTGAAATGTTATCATGACATCGAGCCAGAACCATCAACCAGCAGAGACGTGAACCATAACCAATAGACAAACGACGGATTATGACCAGCAGAGGCAGAGCACAGGCGTCACAATTCATGTACGTAGGAAATCGTTGCTTGTATTATATGCAGAATCGAGCTGAAAGTGCTCGTTTGAAATGACATCTGTAGACAACTGTACCGAGGTACACATTGAAGCTGTCAGGTGTGTGTTTGTGTGTGTGTGTGAAGTTGTTTTATCTTATGTTGAATATGAAATGAGGGATGGGTGACGTTTATACTGGTACAAGGGCATCCGACCCGGCTTTTCGACCCTTTTATCGACCCCTCTAAGAATCAGTGTTTTTTTCTATGATTGTGTGGGCGGGAACAACATCTGCAATCAATCAAACCTGCACAGTCCTTCGGATTCCCCTCCTTTCCCCGTCCCCACTCTTATGAAATGTTTGTTTTCCTAGTACATAGGCTGCTTCCGACCTTCTTATTCTTCCAGAAGAGTGGTCCAATGGAGTCATTAGTGCAGCTAGAAACAGAGAGGTTTCAGGCTCCTGGGAATGTTCGACAGATTCACCTGAGTGAACTCGTCGTCCTCTTCGATCCCATCCATGCATCCATGCGTCCATGAGTGTTCTGTGCAGCAGCAGCTGAAGCAGCCAGAGAAAGTTTAAGAGTGCGTAAGGTATGGCTTCATGTTACATACTTCTCTCTGCTGCTGCTCGCGCTTTCTCGCACTGTCGATGGCTCTGCCCCCTCGCTGTTCGCTTCGAACCAGAACACTGACGATGAGCTCAATCCGAGCTGGGGGGTTGTCAGACCGCCCCAACCGACCGACCGACCGACCGACTAGCGAACTAGCAGCTGGTGATCGGGTTCAGAGGCAGGGCACCACCGAAACTCCAGTACGCTGATCCATCGTCGAGAGATGCGGCCACGCCTTCGGAATCAGTCGGCAGCGACGAGGAGACCCCGGGAGGAAATGAGGAATAAGGCGACAGGTGATCTTGCGGCGTGAGGTGGTCTCCATACATGCTCAGATGGTGGTGGTGGTGGTGGTGATTCGACGACGAGGTGGGGTTCGAGAAGAGGTAGGACGACACATCCTGGTGCTCGGAGCTGTCGTCCTCCACCAGAGGAGGGGCTTGGTGAGTGGAGAAGAAGTGACTGCTCGGATGCTGCTGCTGCAGCTGCTGAGGAGCGCCCGAAGGGTCCATGCCCAGGTCGGACGACGGGGTGGTGGAGTCACAGTCGGTCGGGCCCGAGGCGGACGAGGCTCGCTCGAGCATCTGCTTGAACATGGACGACTGCAGCAGCAGGCTGAGGGCTGTGGGCGAGGATGACGATCGCTGCTGCTGCTGTTGCTGCTGCGAGCCATTGCTGGCCAGCCCCAGCGCCGGCAGCTGGTAAGGCTCGGTGGATTGCGCCGGCCACACCGGCGGGTGAGGCTCTTCGCCCACCCCGGCTGCGGCCGCAGCCGCAGCGGCGGCGGCCGCAGCCGCTTGACATTGCTCGTCCACCAGCAGCTGCGACTCGTCCCCCGGCACGGGGCTCAAATTCGACTCCGGCTCCTGCAGCGCCGAGTTCCCCTGCCCTGGTCGCAGCCAGCGAATGTACCTGCTCAGATCGAAGTTGGTCACCGCGTTCAGCCCTCGGTACTCGATCGCTGCCATGTCGTATGCTGCTGCTGCTTCCTCCTGGGTACCTGCACACAGCCCCCACACATCTCTCAGATTCCTCGACTCTGCAGCAGCAGCACCACCATGACGCCTGCCTACCTGCCTGCCTGCAGTCGGCCCAGAGAGCAGAAGAAGCAGGTGCGTGTGGGTCCTATCAGGAGGCGAGATGCTTACTGTAAGTGCCCAAGTAGAGATACTTGTTGCCGAAAACTCGACCGATACGGGCCTCCCAGCGACCATTGTGATGGTGTCTGCGGTCACAGCAGGCTCGAATGTTAGTCAGGAACGTCGGTGCTCGCTTGCTATGACGTAGCACCGAATTTCATGTCCATGTCGAACTGCCTCCCTCGCAATCTTCCCCCTGCCACTGACTCACTGACTTCCTCACTGACTGGCGGTACGAAAATACGAAGACGGTTTGGTTACCTTGCGACTCCTCGGTACTTGGATACGCCTCTGGAGAATCCGCTGCTCTTCCTGCGAGAAGAAGATGGACGAACAAGAGATCAATTTCAAGTTGCTCGACGACGCTTGAGTATCTGCGTCGGTGAGCAATTCGATTTTATGCTCGTCTAATGTTCTGACTCGTGTTAGCCGACCTCTGACAACCGAGCGACCATCTCCATACCTTCAGGACCACATCACATTCAGGGCAAGCATTGCGGGGTATATTTCGATTCACAGTCAGAAAAAAAAATTTGCTGGCAGCAAACATCACGAACACGCGAACCCCAATCTAGTGAACTCAGCATTAACGGCAAGTTTAGTTTAGCAACTCTAAAAGTCTAATCCATTAGCCAACTGGATGAGTTTCAGCTCATGATGAGCAGCAGAGAGAAGGCGGCGATCAGCAGCATCTACAGGCTGACTGAATAGAATGAAGTCAACACGGCTCGCTAGCTCGAGCTAAGGGATCAATAGAATGACAAACGCTGGGCAAAATCAGTCTCGACAGGGCACGGTCGATCGAGACATGAGACATGGTCGGCAGACCGCGAGACTTCAAGACTAGCCTTGCTGGTCATGCATCCGAGCAGCGACCGGGCACATGGACACAGAACAGAACCTTCACAGGCATTCGACCGAGACCTACATCCTTGAGACTGATCGTCGATCATCGAAGCTATAATTACCTCCTCAACGACGCGAGGTATTCCTCCCGCGTGACATTTTGCATCTCTTCGATGTCCCGCGCATAATCGCTCACCTGCAATCGACAGACAGCTCCGTCAGCCGATTGACATACAAGAGAGCAGAAAAGACCACGGACTCCAGCACATTCGAGCGCAGCAATGAACTGACGACAGAGATTGACGGCACCAGCTTGCCACACCGCACGAGGCAGATTACAAACGACGTTCTAATGGCTTCGGTCTCGAATGTGCTCACGGGAAAATTGATGAGCGTGCCGGGGCCCCAATACTTGAGAGCAGCGAGATCATAAGCGCGAGCTGCCGCCTCCTCTTCGTCGTAAGCCCCTGAGACAAGCACAAGCCCAAGCACATACGCCCCAATTGGTCAGCCACGTGATCATCAATCAAACTGACACGTTTCAGTTCCAATTTGCCACTTGCAGCTCGCTAAGCGCGGATCGTCAACGACAAGCCCCCTTCCTAGCCCCTCGACAGACTGACGGCCAGAGGTAGCGAGAGGAGCGAGCACTTACCGAGATAAACTGGTCGGACCGGTCGATGGAGGGGAGAGGACGCCAGCCGCATCGGTTCATGTCGGAAGCACAAGCACAAACACAAGCACAAGGCAAAGGCACGACGAAGGTCAGAATAAGAGCCAGGGACCGACCGGACTGAGCAGTCGACGGGGGCACATGCCCGACAAACAACGGTACGGGCGGGCGGGCGGGCGGGCGGGCGGGCGGGGGGCTAGTGGGGCTTCACTTCTAACGTCTCGGAAGACTTGTTCCGCTTGCGTGCGAGCGTTCGGAAGCCCGAGCGTTTCCAGCGCACGCTCTTTTCATCGTCGGCGACAACGGATTCCGGGGGTTACCGAATGCGCAGCAGCGCAAGTGGCAGGCCGAATTCGGCTTCGGGTGCTTGACCCGACGAGCTGTGGCATGCTACGGGATGAGATGGATGGATCGATGGGTACCTTGCTTTCCCTTTTTGTTCTGCGTTTGATTCCATGTGCTCTTATCCCAGAGATGCGCTTCGTAGCGCCCGGTCCACCGATGTCTGTTGCACCCAGCGCACGCACACTTCTCTCACGTAAGAATCAAAATTTTCAAATAACGGAGAAACGAAAAAAATGCAACAATCGGATGAAAGGAAATGATGAGAAAATCAATGAATCAATTAATTAATGAATCGAGGGGGCAATGGCTGACCGAGTGACTCCTCGGTAAATGGAGCTTCGTTTTCCCGCAGCGCAAGGCGGCATTTTGCTGATTCTGTCCTTGGCAGTGGATCCTCTGTCACGGCGCGATCGCTTCACGCCGCGCTGCTGCTCCGGCGTGTCCGAGGCTTCGACCGGCGCGACTGCCACCGCTTTCTGCTCGTCCGAGACGACCGCCTCCAGGGACCCTGCTTGATTCACCTCACTCGCATCCATGACGGCTCACTCTCGCGGTCCACTTGGCACCTTGAAATGCAGCGAAATTCTGGCGGCCGAATGATGAATGTCCCCCTGCGATTCGCGTCTGCGCGCAGCTCTCAGCTCTCAGCGCTAGCTCGTCGATTCGTCACCCCACACAACAATGCCCGGCTCCAGAATTCCTCTCCGAAATGCGAGCTACAATTCGCCCTCGCCCGAGCTGTTTATGTCTGAGTCTAGCTCCTGTTTCGTCCCGGGCTCCGCGTAAATCTTCTCGCGGGTGTTAGGTGGATAGATGAGATAGACTCTGCACCGGCTCCGAATGCAAGCGTGCAAGGCGTCAATCAATCGAGCGAGCGAGCCAAGTAGCACGGAGCTGATTGATCGCTTTACAGAGAGGTGGTGCTGCTGGAGAGCAGCCGAGACGAGCTCGGAGTGGACGCGGATCGGAAACTAAAGCCGGAGAAGCAGGGCGGGCAGTGGTGAAGGCGATCGTAGAGGGAGAGGGAGAGGGAGAGGAAAAGAAGCTGGGGAAGTAGCAGGAGCAGCAGAGGTGTTTGTGATGGTGGTGGTGGTGGTGAGGGACTCAGACACCAGAATGTAAGAACCCTTGAGACACAACATGGGGATATGAATGAAAGAAGCATGCACCTCCAGAATCGAAGAAACGAATTTTAAATGTAGTGATTGGGAAAGCGAGGAAGGTGTACAGAAACTATTGTGAGGCCAGCCACATTCGCCAACAGCATGAACTACTGTTACACTGATGCGAATGAACACCCCAGCCGAGTACCTCTTGCTCCTCCTCCTCCTCTTCCTCTAAGACTCGGGCGGCAATCGTCCTCTCTCTCCTCCCCTCCCTCCTTCGCTTGCCCTCCCTTCGCTTTCCAACTACTCCTCATTCATCAATTCATCCACCATCAATGCACAGCAATGCCCACCAGCTTAAGCTTAGGCACGCACCCCGCCTCTCTCTCAAATGCGACTGGTAATTGAAGTAGAAGTAAGCGGACTGGATTGTATGACTGCCTCACCTCTCTCTCTCTCTCTCTCTCTCTCTCTCTCTTCCTTCTGGGCGAGCTGGGGGTGAAATGCTGCGATTACGAGAGGCGAGAGGAGTATTGACAGTTGTTAGAATAGAATAGAAGAGGCGGAGAAGGTGAAGTCCAGGACAGAAGAAGGCGAAGGTGAAACAATAGAAGAGAATGAATAGAAGCCCACGACAGACGACGACAGATCATCTGAAGCAGAGGAGACGAAGAGCAGCAGCTGCTCTTCGTCTGCACCTTCGCTCTCTCCTCCCTCTCTCTCTCTCTCTCTCTGAGTCTCACTCTCTGCTCCTGCTCGCCTCCCCAAACAGCCCCGAAACGCCTCCCTGCTGCCCCGCAAAACGCCGCCGCCCGCACGCACGCAGCTTCACTTCCGTCCGTCCCCTTACTTTGCGTCACCAACTATCCGTCTCCCCGCCTCTGTCCGCCTGACCGTCTGCCATATACGTTGGGGGGGGCTCTGGGACGGGGGTAAACTTATCTGTACAGGTTCCTCCATACGCTCGTCGTATAGAAGCGTCCTCTCCATAACGTCACAATAAATTTTACCTTTTCTTCCATGTGCCGTAATTACTCTGCCCGTTACTGGTTCTGCCCACCCCCCCAACGTACAAATCTCGCTCCGGTCGAGCCCGACTTCTAGCCCGTCCACGAGCCCCCCTCTCCCTCTGCAGACGGCGGGCTTACGTATCCCCTCTCGCAGGTTTGTTGTATTCTGTGTATTGGAGGGGCAATCCTTCCGGCTGCCCCGCACTTGGAAAACATTCGTATTTCTTTATTGATGGATTGAAGAGATTAGTTCGAGTAGTCGGTTTAGAAAGGGGTGTAAAAAGCCCGATTTTTATCGAAGATAATTTTGGGTTAATTACAAGGAAAAGACTAGCTCACACCCGCTTTTGCTAGGGCCAAACCCGCCCGCTAATTACCATGGAAACGAAGATAGAACACCGTATTCAAGTCCCCCTCCTGCTACAAGGGGTGACGTCATCGTCCACCCATCCGGCTCCGGGGACGACTAGGGCCACACCAGTTTCTGCTAAGGCCAGGCCCGCTTTAGCAAAAACGGGTGTGGCACTAGTCGTCCCTTAATTAAAAACCTTTAAATACCTGATTTCAATAATGATTTTACTCAATTTTATTAGATTATTAGCATTTGTGGAAAAACCCCGGTTTTTCTCGAAAATGATTTCGGGTTAATTTAAAAAACCCTTATAAACCTGATCTCAGTAATGGTTTCAATCAATTGTATGAGACTATTAGTACCTATTCAGTACAGAACAGTGTAGTGATGTAAGTTTCCAATTTAAAACCCGATTTCATGCCAATAATGATTACAGGTATTTTAGAAAAACCTTTTTAAACCTGATGGTGCCAGCCCTGGATTAGAGCCGTGGTCGATCACTTAGAGCATTTGCTGCAATTTGTCGTATCTAGTGGGATCCCTCGGAAACAATTTGACTCCGGTGGTGCGGTGCTCGTCAACCGCAAAGTCGAGAATATTACGAGAGTGCAATCATTGGACTTTGGTACACAATGATGCAAATGATCGCCCACAGTCGTCGATATTCATGCCACCATCATTTTCGAGTCGCCAGAATGTGTTCAAACAAGTGAAAACTCAAGCCATCCTTTTCCGCAGTCGAGACTAGAATACTGCCCCATTCAATGCCCTGGGGCAAGGGAAGGCAAGCGAGAAATCTAACCATCAAGGGCGGGGTTGGGAAAAGGCCGAGACGCAAATATCTCGTTCCAATAATCTAGTCTTTTGCTTCTTCGTATCATGACACATCTAGCGCAAAAATGATCATCTGACACCCGGGGAAAATGGGAGTATCATATGTGCATGATATTATTAAATGGGGGTGGGAGGGGGAAAGGAAGCGCTTGAAAATAGGCAGAAAACCAGAAAAATTATGCCAAAGATCCGAGAGATCTTTGGCACTCGCGAACGGAGGGGACTGAGAAAATTGCCCCTCCCCGCCCGTTGTTTCTGGCCCAGAGCCGGGGGGTAAAAAGCGGCCTCCGGGGTAAAAGGTCACGGACGAAGCGAGTGCGGCCAACGGTAACCGGCGCTTCGTCGCATCGGATCTCATGCGGGGGCTCGGCAGGGCGTGCAGTTCAACGCCACGTGTGATCGCCCCACGCCCCAACCGGCAGCCGTAAAATTGCGCCGGTAAAATTGATGGTGACCGGGTAAAGTAGGTGAAGGTGAGTAGAATAGCGTATGGCTGCAGAAGCGCCTGCCCCGCCACTCACGTATCCCAGGGCCCGGTAGAGTACGTAAAGGGGCTACACACAACCTGTTCGTTTCTGTACCGGATGAGAAGCCTAACGCCAGTAGGGTACCCCCCAGCCCCCATGCTCTCTGCAGCTGCTGCTGCTGCCGGGGCAGCAACGGCTAGTCCAGTCCAGACAGATCACGATCGGCGAGAGAGAGAAGAAAAAGGGCCCAAATATTGCCATCCTTGAAGAAACAACGGAATTATTGAGCGATGGGTGGCGTGTTGCAAGGCGCGATTTTCTGAAAAGCGGAGAATGTTGATCGTGCTCGCGCCAATCACATGGGCTCTCATTCATTCTTCCTTGTCCCAGGAGATTTCGCTGTTTACCTCCTCGCTCGGGTCGGGGTACGTTTGTTAGTCTCGTCTCAGCTCAGGAGCCAACCCAGCGCAGGTCTTGTCTTCTCTAACCTTCCCTCCCCTCCCCTTGCCTTCGCTCCTTTTCCTGCCTTCCATTCAATTCAATTGCTCCCCGGAGACGCACCACGTCGAGAACAACACACGCTTAGCCTGCAGAGACGGACCCAAAAGCAGCAGCAGCACATGCTCGAATCTGAGCTCGCTCATAAAACAATACTATACGCAGATCCCGCTTCATGAGGCCGATGGCTCGATCTCGATCCAGCTCTATATTCTAAATTATCCGGACCTGGGATGAGATAGGAGCTTGCAACTCCTGTGTGGGGTCTCATTTATGTGATTGATTGATATTACGTGTTTCAATTGAAACGATGTTCTTTTTGTGTTCGGGGCCCTTGATAATGGATGGGGTGGGATGGGGAAGAGCTCAAATGGGGCAGTTTTCATGGGCAAGTTCCAAGGTATCGTCGGTCGGTGTACGTGATCGCGAAGGGGATGGCGATGGATCACGGACTGCGATCGTGCGTGCATGGAAATATGTGGGGGGAGACTAGCTAGGACTGGGGAGAAACCAGCTGCCTGACTCGATACGTATGGACTACAGTGGCAGGGCGAGGGTACAATGTGGCAATAAAGAGGAAGTCCTCAAACAGCTGCAATCCAGTGCACTGCTGCTGCCGCAGTGGAGACCTACAGCTATACAGCTTGGTGGGGGTTCCGCTTCGAGCGATCCGCCTGCCTCTGCAATGGCCCTGCCCCCTTGCTTGTCCGCTGTATCACAGCTTCTTGCCCCCAGGAAATTCTGTTAGGGGCGGCTCGATCATAGCTGCTGCATGTAGCCATGTACGATTCGCGAGAAAGCGCTTTCACGAGATGTCTCTGGGAATGCAGGCCGTGGACAAGCATTTACACCACTTGGCCTTGAGAGAGAGAGAGAGAGAGAGAGAGAGAGAGAGAGAGAGAGAAAAAGAGAGAGATCGGACCTCGTTAGATCCGAGGGGAGGGAGTTCTTGCAAGAATTGCCGGGGCATCTGAGTCCCCCGGCGGGTGTAGATCACGAATCATAGCATAGACAAGAAGGCGTGAAATCTGATTCCGCTTTTCATTCGAGGCCTATGCAGGATCCGCCATGCTCTTGTCTAGAGCCGTTTCGAGTTTCATTTCGCTGCTGTGCAATGAGATTTCTCAAATCTCGAACCTCGGCTTCTCTTCTCTTTTGGAGTCCCAGATTTTTTAGACAAAAACTGCCATTTCCTTCCTCTCACCCAGCAGCTCCGGGGACTCGCATAATTCGCTGGATGTTCCGTCTCTAGATCTGACCCTGGCAAAGATAGCCACCGACAAACGTGGGCCTGTACTTTGACGGGCGGAGCTTTAGAATGGCGGAATTCTGCAAGGACGCTTGGCTTCCTTCTATCAGTGGCAAAAAGTTGAAGACTCGATCCACTTCTTTTATTTTAGTCTGTACGTAAGCTCCTACAGCTGAAGCAGAATAGTAAGTGCGGTACTGGAGTCTGGACATCATCCCGAAAAGGCGATGGCTGGAATCATCCTTCGCCATCGGTTCACAAATTCGGCGAGAGCTCACTCGCGCGAGCGAGGTCGTCCAGCTTTTTTAAGAGCACGAGTTCCTTCGAAGATTCCGCCATTGAGACTCGACCTGTTGTGTATATGATTGCAGTGGCCGAGCTTCGAGCTTCGCCCTCACTCTCGGCACACGCTAGCGGCCAGGCCGCCCTGCTGTACGTCCGTCCCATCCGCCATGCTCCAGCCGGATTCCACACATGCATTCGTCCATCACGCTCGCCGTATATCCACAACCGGAGATCACCGAACGAACCACGGTACACACTCGCTCGATTAATGCCTCGAGGAGCATACCCGAAAGACGCCGAATTAATAAACATAAAAATCGCCCGAAAGCTGCATCATGAGCAAAGCAAGCTCGCTCGGCTCATGTCCGTGTCTCAAGTGGGTACAGACGTTAAGGTCGCGGTCGTGCTACTCGAGTAGCCATTGCGCCGGCCAGGTTTGCTTTTAGTCGGCGGCACTGGCAATGGCAGTGGCCGGCCTCAGAGTCGCTCTTCAGTCGGTCTTCGGTCTTCGTCTCGACATGAATCCACCAAAATCAGGATTATTTTAATCGTGCTCTAATCTGACCCACCACCACTCGCCACTGCTTCATTATGTTCGTGCCCCGGGGCCCATGGGCCCGGCCCAGCCCAACCCAACGACGAGCTCGGCTCGTTGCTCGTTGCTCCCTCCCATGCCAAACAATGTGCACGCATAGTTAATGACAGCGCCATTAGTGGGAATGGATTTAGAACGGAAGAAGGCAGTTTGCTGCTGCAGCAGCGTTGCAGACGAACCGCTTGCGGGCAGACATGTCCACAGGTGATCGCAGCTCAGGAGACATGGCAATGCGAATGACGGATCCGCGTGGGGAACACGGGGGCCTCAATATTCTCTCACGTCCTTTCTGGGGCTTGTAGCCCGAGACAGGTTTCGTTTGTCTTGTATCTGAGTTGGGAGAAAAAGGCCTCGAGCGATTCACGTCTCGTCCTCATGCGATCGAGACAAGCGCAGGACTGCAAAGCGGTCTCGTCTC